CGTTGTGACGTAGCATAGGGCGACATCTGACGCTACGTCAGCAGGAGCCTCTGCTTCTAGACGGTGGTTGGCAGCTCACTGAAACCGGGAAAATGAAGCCGCGGATAACGGGGACTAGTGAACATTGCTGTGTGTTTGAAGTTATTTAACGTCAGTGAGTACCGTGTTAGATTGTGGCCTTTTTCTTAAGGATTTGAGGAAATTATTTGTATGTCCTTGATGTAAACCCTTTGCCAATTACACATATTGCAACTCTCTTAGTGTTTAGCTTGCTTTTTGAGTATCATAATGGAGACTTTTGATGAATAAAATTCTTAATTTTAATGTAAATTTGAAACATCAATATTTTCCAATATAGTGAATTCTGTGCCTATTTTATCTTCTAGAAGTATTGCAGTTTTCCTTTATCTACAACTTACTTGGACTTGATGTTTTTAGAATGGTGTGAGGTAGGGGTCAAGGTGCATCTTATTCCCATATGGATATCCAATTGACCCAACACCATTTATACTGAAAAACTGCCTTTCTTTCACTGCTCTGCTTCCTCCTAAAATCAAGGGTCCTTATATATGTGCTTATTTTTGAATATTCTATTCTTTTCTATGCTCTTTTGGTTCATCTTGTACCAAGATCACAGTAATTGTGGTTTTAGAATAAACTTGCCAATTTTTTTACTAATGTTAACTCTTTGCATTTCCATATAGTTTATAAAGTTCACCAGTTTCCATAAAATGATCTGCTGGGATTTTGATTGGAATTGCACTGAACCTATAAATATGGGAAGAATTATAAGGTTACAACATTGTGTCTTTACAATATTCTCTCTTCCAATCCATGAACATGGCAAATCCTTCCACTTTAGATCTTCCTTAATTTCTTCCAATAATAATATATGGTTTTTTAATAAAACCGTCATCAAAAACTTCTAATAGATTTTGTTTCTAAGCATCAGATGTTTGAGTTGCTATTGTGAATGGTATTGTTTTAAGTTTCATTGTATCCTCGGTACAATGCTGAGTAGAAGTAGATAAGGCATTCTTGTCTCATTCCTAATTGTAGGCAGGAAACCTATATTATTTCACTATTAAATGTGATGTTAGCTGTAAGTTGCAGGTACTAGTTTTTACCTTTTTCTCTACTAATTTCCCTTATCCTTTATCCATCCCTCATCTTCTATAAAAATTTCACATCTGCTAGAATCATCTCTTATATTATCTTTGTCTTTGTGGGTTTATACCTTTTTTTACTTCTTTGGTTTCAGCGAGGTTTCAGGAAGGGCTCAGGATAAAGATGTATTCAACCTGCCATGTGTAATTAAAAGTCTCACAAGATTAGATATGAAACAAACCTTTTTAAAATTAAGGATGATTAATCCATTTTAAATTATGGACTTAATACACTGTATGAAAATTCTGCTGTTGTCTAAATTGGCAGGTTTTTTAACAAGTCTTTAAAAAAATATTCATAGAATAATGTGGGAAACAGATATACACAGAGAATTATATCTTCCTTAAGTGCCCAAAGAACAAAGAAATTTTATTTCTAGCAGCAGATTCACAAACTCCAAGAAGGGATTAGTGGTTACCAAAGGGGAGGGGTGTGGGAGGTCGGGTGGGGAGGGAGGGAGAAGGGGATTGAGGGGTATTATGTTCAGTATACATGGTGTGGGGGATTGCGGGGAAAACAGTGAAGCACAGAGAAGGCAAACAGTGAATCTGTGGCATCTACTACACCGATGGACAAGTGACTGCATTGGGGTATGGGTGGGAACTTGATAATATGGGTAAATGTAGTAACCAGAAAAAAAAATGTGACAAGTGTGATGGAGGAACTGAATTTTAAATTTTAAATAATTTAAATTTACATTTACAGAGCTGCAAAAGCAAAGAAAATAAATTTTATTTCACAGTAATTTGAACTTTACTTTGAGGTGCTAGAAGCCACCTTCATCTCAAATGATTTCCTTTATAAATTCTGCTTTCCTGCCAAATTCAACTCCCTACCTCCTGACAATCCCCTTAGACATCCCTGAGTAATGACCATCTAGCCTTTGCTTAAATACCTCCTATGCTGGAGTTTATCACCTTTCACATGGACAGAAGAAATGTTTATCTGAATTTCACCCTTAAAGTAGTATCACTTCATACTGAAAAACCAACGGTGGCGTAAATAAAGCAGAGGTTTTATTCTGTTCCTGCCATAAGGAGTCCATCTGGGACTGGTTTGGCAGCACCCGGTGCCATCAGTAGCCCACCCTATTGCCAGCTGTCTGCTCCTGCATTTCCTGATCATGCATGGCCTTCTGCCCACGTACATCCTACACCTCTAGGCAGTGCCTCTGTGTTCAAGGCAAGGTGAAAGGAAAGTGTACAAAGCTGACCAATTGAGTCAGCTCCTCTATAAAAAGCATTCCCCAAAACATCACTGGGCAACTTGTTCTTACATCTCATTGGCTAGACTATTTCACTTGGCCACACCTAACTGCAAAGGTTGAGGTCAATGTTTTATTGGGCCACCATGAACAAAACTGAGATTTAGTTAGTAAAGAAGACAAAGATAACTGATGGGTCAGCAAACAACAGTGCCTGCCACGAGAGTTTAGTCTGTTTTCTCCTGTTTATTCCCTCCCACCTTGAGAGAAGAGCAGTCAGTCTTTGGCAATTGCTCAAAGCCCAAGGGACCAACTCTGAACTGTCTGGGAAGTAATGGACATAGGGGTGAAGTCAGTAACAACTGAATCACTGAGAACAGATAGAGAAAGCCGACTCCTGCTTCCCAGAGAAAGGAAGCTTAACAAAGGCACCAGGAGGACCTCCAGCTGGCCTGGCAGAGCTGGGAGGGATCAAGTTGAAGGTTGAAATAGAAACAGCTGCTGACTGCGTTTGCCAGTCCTAAGGGGATCGTCTATGCCCATCAGGTGAACAATTCCATTTGATCCACACACGGGTGAAAGCCATTGCCCCCTTCACTTTTTAAGGGCCTGGAATTATTCTTCTCCTATTTAAGATTTACATTCACTAGGGCTACACTTCGCTATCAGCCTGAACTTGTGGAACCATGACGTGGGCACACGCAGGCAGATAGCACTTACTTACCACCCCTCACTCCAGGAGTTTCATTATTTGTGGCATATCACAGACTTGTTCCTTGTGCCAGGCCCTGGGCTGAGCACGTTGCTTGTTAGCACTTATCCTCAGAATAATCTGAAAATTCTTGCAGTTTTTAGATGAGAAAACGGGGGCTCCAAAGGGAGCCATACCAAGGTTCAAATCCAGGTCTGCTGGGCAGACTCTGAAACTGCATGCCTGTAATCAGTGCCTTCTACTTGTTGCCTTGAAGACAGAAAAAAGCTAGCATAACTTCCTTGTTTACCGAAGAAAACACACACGCATGCAGCCCAGAGGTGTCAAGGATGCCCAGACTGACAGTTAGAAACGGAACAGTGAAGATCTGAACCTAGTCTCCTTTGTCTCACTTCTTTGACACAAACTTAGCATCTCTATAACTGAAGCCCTTAGTATTTTGGAGGGTTAAGTTCCACTCTTTGCCAGAGGTATCATTTTCAAACTTTAATGTTTCTCTTTAAGACATTTCATAATCACATTAACATTTTTACCTTTTAAGACTAGCAAAAACAAAGTTAAAAAAAAATCACATGCCAAATGTAAAGTGTTAGTAAAGCATTAGGGGAACTTACCAGCACAAGCTCTAGATGCATTTTCATTTTGTGATTTTGCTGAAAACTAAAATAAAACATGACAAAATGTCCTTAAATTGATCCAAATAATCTTCCCCTTCATCTTGGAGGAACCAATCCAGAGGCAAAAGGTGCCCCCTTCAGGTCAGGTGACCTACTGCTCTGCCACTTGTCACCAGTCATCATCCACTCCTTAGGGAAGCCTTCCCTGACCTGCCTTTCTAAATGCAATTTCCCATTACAGCACATCCGGGATTCTCCTTCTGGCCATGGCAGCTGGTACTGAACTAGGCCTCCTACAGTAAGCAACTGTAACACTGGACCAAATATGTCAAATTAGTTTTCAGAAGTTGGGCAAAAGGGCAGCACATGATGATCCCTAATATATGAGTCCTGTGATAGCCTTTCTGACTTTCCAGATTGTGGCCCACGGAGGAAGCCCAACAAGCACAGTGGACTTGCTGAGCTAAGACAGCAAAGGAAGGCAAGTTTGGGCTGTTCAGGGCAAGGGACATAGAGAAGGTAGCTGTGCAGAGGGGCAGCTCCAGATTTCTGCCTGAGGATCCATAATTTGAGGCTTCAGCTAAATACCCAGCTACTTGTTCATAGGTGAGACTCTGTGAAGCTGACCAACCACTGAAGAATTGAGAGTTGAACAACAACTGGAGCCTGAGTAGGTCTGGGACATGTTCAAGGACTGAACAGTCAAGGTGGAGACATGTCACTGACCTCAGCACTCTAATAGAGACCCCAGAAAGGCTACTCTAGACCTACCCTACCAAAGCTTTAACACCACCCTTGAAAATATCATGATGATCTACAAATGAACTGCCAGCCAGAACACAATTCACCCAGCACTCTATTAAAGGAGACAACAAAATTCAGATACTCAATGATGCAGCAATAATTTGTAGCAGAAAAACAAATAATTTCCAGACATGTGAAGAAGCAGCAAGATATGAACCATAACCAAGGGAAAAGCAGTTCATTGAAAAGCCTAGAAATGACAAAGATGATGAAATTAGGTTAGGATTTTAAAACAGCTATTAATGGACAAAAGATTTGAACAGACATTGCCAAAGATATACGGACATTATGCTAATATACGACATTATGCTAATATGCTAATATGCTAATATGTCATTAGGGACATACAAATTAAAACCACAATGAGATACCATTCCACACCTATTAGAATGGTTCAAATTTAAAAAGACTGACCATGTTAAGTGTTGGCAAGGATATGGAGGAAATGGGACTCTCATTCTCCTTTGGTGGGAATAAAAAATAATACACTTTGGAATCCAGTTTGAAAATTTATTTTAAAAAATAAACATACACCTACTATATGAGCCAGCCATTCCATTCCTAGGTATTTATCCAAGAGAAAAGGAAATATATGCTCATACAAAGAATTATACACAGATGTCAATAGCAGCTTTATTCATAATAAAAACTGGAAAAGCCCAAATGCTCATTAAAAGATGGATAAACAAATTGTGGCACATATCAACTCAGAAACTACGAAAGGGTTTGAGATGTGACTCCGTTTGCAAGCTAACAAGGTATCTTGTCAGTTTCATACCATCAAGAGCTCCTGAACTTTGCATCTTGGAAATTTACTCACCTTTCTAGCTTAAAAATCTTGCAAATAACTCCAATTGGCCCAGCTTGGCTCCGAGGTGCATGCACCCAAATGTGTAGGGAAGTCAAATGTGGTGAGGTAAGTCATAAAAACCATTTGGCTCCTGCCAGACACACAGTTAGAAATGGAGGCCATTTCTCCAGAAGGGAGAATGCCAGGCAAACAGCAGCAGAGCCAAGCACTACACACTCCCACTGTTATCTACACTGAATCTAAGAGCTGACGGAAACTAATCCCCGAAGAAAAATATTCATATACATACTGAGTTCTAATGTGAAGAAGAGAGGGGAGTGACATGAGTGGAGAAGAGAGAAACCAGGGGAAGAGAAATAAGTAAAAAAGAAAAACCAAGAAATGCACAAAAATTTAACTAATAATTACCTTCTTTTGTGACAAATCACAAGAAAACAAGCCAATATTTTTGTGAACTAATTTTTCCAGTAAAGGATATAAAATATCAGGTATGAAGACTTAGTCCAGATTCTGACAGGGCTGTCTGGTATCTGTGGTGACTGGAAGCCGATCTGGTGGTACTGGTTCCCATGTGAGAGACTCAATGATGACAGGAAGGCATACTGTATACAGAGGCAGGTAAAATTGCGAGCACATTTTAAAGTTTCCCACATTAAGGATTAGAATGAAAAATGGCTTTCTAGCTCTCAGGAAAGAAGATTCAATAAAGCATACAATGCCCCTTTACAAAACAGTGTGACAAACTGAGGTCTTAAGTGCAGAAGAACATGGAGACATTTATTTCTTAAGTATGTTTACCAGTCACAATGGAGACTTTAAGGTGGGTCTGTAGTCAAAGCAAGTGGAAATTCTTGGCATACTGCTATCTTCCCCCCTCATGCATGTACCAAGTTCAATTCTCTAAGTACTATAGTAAATATACCTATTTCACTTTGCTTGACTACATGTTTCTCAAATTTATATGACCAGGGAACTCTTTTTATCATGACATCTATTAGTATCTAAGGAACCAATGTTCTAGGCAACATACTTTGATGAATGTGGCCATGTAGGTAAATACTGCACAAACAACTGTGATGTTTTAGTGTCCCTAAGGAAATTAATAAGTGATCACTTCCCAAGTGTTTTTCTTACAGAATGAGTGTTAAGTGCAGAAATCACACCCACCTTTTTTACAAACCATGCTGATACAGAAATGGAAACATGCTACAAGATCTTACCGTAGCACTGAAAGCACATGCCATAACAATCCCACTTCAAAGCATTTTACAGAGGATGAAGAGAATGTCAACATACAAAGAACAACTGTGAAAGCTCAGAAATGACCAAGTTATCTCTGGTCTCTGAAAGCAGTGTTCAGAACTGCTCCAAATGATGCTGATTTACCTCTTTCTCTTCCACGCCCATGACCAGTGACTAGTGTATATACGGGAGCACACCATACACTCGCGCATATATGGGGTCCCAGGAGAGCTCGGACTCTGCAGCAGCTATAGCCTGTCTCTAGAGACAATACCCATGCAATGCCCCTCATTGCCCCTGAGGAGCAAAGGGATCCCTGGCCTACTGCAACATGTGTGTAAAGGTAAGGGGTAGAGGTGAGGGGCATTATATGTTCCTGATAGCTGAGTTGGCTGAAATTTGTAATGAGTTTTTCATAAGAAACAGTATCATAGGTGATGGATAGATTTTTTTAGGTATGTAGTTCAGTTCTATCATTCTTAAATCATTTTGAGGGGATTGAGAAAATATACTACCACTTAAAACATTATTTCCCTAAGAAACAAAAAAGCATGTTGTAGTCTAAATACTGCACATTAAATAAAATACTACCGAGAATTAAAACACTGGTAAATTATGGACAGGCTGCAATTAGTTGTCTAAATACCTAGAGTTTCCTTCAAGATGTATTCATGGTCCATGTGACATACCATGGTTTTTTTTGTTCAGAATTTTCTCAACCTGATACAACACTTTAATTCCTACAGCAATTCCTAATATAAACAAATGCTAATCAGCAAATGTCTTTAAACTCTTGATTTGGAAATCTGGTATTCATAGTTAGAATGAGAAAGTAAGTGCCTTAAACAGAAATACATTTTACTCAAATCTTATTTTTTCCTCTCATTCAATATAAAAATATGCATTTCAAAACAATTTAAGATATTTGATAAGCTGTACGAAAGAAAAGGCCCAGCTAGCAAACTCCATTCCCAGCCATCTAAGGGTCCAGTTGCAATGTAGCACGGTGAGCCAGTGACTGCAGGTATATATTTCTGTTTTGTAAACTCACACTGACATGCAACACTATTAAGAAAAAGATATGCTTTGAAGAGCAAAATAGAAGTAAAGCACAGAGCACCTCTTACAATGCTGTAATAAAATACTCATTAATTCTTGTGTAAATATCTGGGAAAAGATGAAAGATAAAACTCGATATGAAAGGAGTTAAATAGTAAGTGTTTATAAAGTCAGTTTTCTCTGACTTGTGAAAAACTCATCAAAAATCCTTTGAGACAACATGGAAGTTCACAGGTTCTCTATCTGCCAAGGTCACCATCTGCCACAGCAGCTTCTTAGCTGTCTACCTAGGTTTTGTATTACAGACTGATGCATGAGGTCTTATATTGACATCAATACTTCCTTCTTGTTTTGTGCTATAATGCTTTCAGTGGTATACCATCAAGTGCTATCACAAATAGATTATAACTATACTCCATCATAAATAGAGCTCAAGAAAGCACATTCTGCCAAATTGATTTTTTGAATCTTCTAAATTGTATTTCTTCACTCACCTGCCAATTTAAAAAATCTATTAATTTGTAGAGGGCTTCCTCATCACTAATGTGATTGCTGTAACTCAATTCAAAAGCAATCATTTTTCAAAAACGGGATTCAGCCCAGCAAAGCTTAAGCATCAGCCAAAATCTACTGCCACCCTGTGGGCAAAAGGCCAACTCGGCAGTGATATGTGAAAGTCACTTTATGAAAAATCCAAGTAAAAATTACTCTCAAAATATTTTACCCCCTATAATTAGTTTACAACTGGAAATTTAAATTTAATGAGAGGATTTTAGTCCTTTGGGCTAGAATGTCACAATCAGAAAGAAAAGCAATTTTAACATTGATTCTTATGATATTGTCAGAAAGTATAACCACTGATTTAAAAAATTGTTGAAACAATGCATGATAAAAGCTATGGGGATAACAGACATTGAATCTATAATTAAAAACTAACCATTTTACACTTTTTCACCTGGACAAGACACAAATACTTAGCATTTTCTACTTTTCTGTCTCCAGAAATTCCATGAGAATCCAGAAATGAAAAAAAACCCACAAAAAACCATGAAGGTAAAACCTGCATCTAGCTGGTTGACTATGAAAAGCCTAGAAACAGCACCAAGAAGCATAAGATAGAATTGTTGCACAATGAAGAAAAATGACAAAACCTGCAGACATTTTTTTCTACTGAAGCTTTAGTAAACTGGAAATAATACATTGTGATGGTTTTTCCAGTGTTATCATTTAGTAGTTAGAACTACTTGCAAAACTAGGGCTGAGAGTTGATAAATATTTATGGAGCCACCTGGTGATTTCCTTCCTTGAGTACTACCCCACAGGAGCACATTCTCCTTTGTGTATATGGGAAGCTGTACAGTTGGGACCAGATTGTTACAGGTGCTCTTGAAACATCAGTGAGACAAGCTGCCAACTAAAGGAAAATAAAGGAGAATGGAGAATGCTTTACTATGCTTTTCCACAGATATAATCACTATTTCATTCATTTAAAACCTAAAGAAAATGGAAGCTCCTTTATTCCAGATAACCCCTAAGTTCAGAATTCCACACATAATTTCTTTATAGAAGCAGAATATGATATACATCAATATCCATCTTCTTATTGAATGCTTGGTCATCTTAAAAGGAGAATTAGAAACAGGATCCAGATGCTGAATGATGACCTCAGTAACATCATATGAGATGGCTTTTGGGTTTGCCACACAGTTTGAGTTTCTTTGTCGTGAGCAGCTGTGCCAGGCCATTGAGAAACACCAGAACGATGGTCATGCACATGACGATTACGTAGTGGCTGATGCTACAGGAGGAGAAAGAGAAACATGTTGCAGGCAGAGAGAAGACATATGAGGAAAAGCATCCGATACCAACTATTTTGAAATAGGTAGCAACATGTTAAAAAAACAAATTTGTTATAGAAGTAGAAATGAATATAAATACTATTTTGAGATATCGCCAACAACTTAGTATACCATGAAAATGTCTGATTGGTATTAGCAGTGCTGTGTCTTTGTTACCAGTAGAAACGGAATTTCAAAATCAAGCTTTCAAAAAACCAAAGATAATTTTCCCCCTCTAGGTCTGGACTCCCCTATAGGCCCCCAGGTTAAGTATTCTGACATTTCTGAGCACACAATCCTATGCTTTGACATAAATTACAAGTATTTTGACAAAACTGCCAGCCACAAAGAAAGAAAAATGTTTTTTCAACTCAAATTCAGTGAAGTGTAAAGCTAGTCAAGGAACATAAATAAAGGAAAAAGGACACATCTTGTTATTAATCTCAGAATCAAAGCTACTGTCTCCCAGACTTCTGGAAAAAGATATAAAGTTACTCAGTTCCAGTTGTCATCTATTTGCAATTATAAATGTTCATTTTTTTTAAGCACAGTAATTGTACTGTCTACCAAGAACATGGTTTGATGATTAATTCAGAAGTATGGGAAGAGATTTAGGACACAGATCTGACAAACATACAATAAAGCAGAGGCTTCGTGCATAACATTTGTACGGTATTGCCCAAGTTGAGCTACACTGCAGATTGGCAATTACTTATTTACAATGCCTACCAGAGTTTACATTTAACTATCTGATTTCATCATAGATTTGCATGTTTTCAATCCTTCAATAAAGGTGGGAGGATAGTTTTAGCAGGCTTGTAACTGAATTGGCTTGATGAAGGGAGGTCCTATTTTCTCTGCCTTCCTCTTCTCTACCCCCAGTAAACATGAGGAGTCATGGTGCTGGTTAAAGAAGCCCCTAGCCAGGAATGGCCCCCAGGAAAAGCCCCAAGGAAGCCTTAGGACATAGGGGAAATAACTGTTGCATGAAGGTAAAGGAGGCTGATCACCCAGAGAGATGTGGAGACTAAGGGCAAAGGGGAAAGACTTACAGGTCTCCCTCCCTTCTCAGTGACTCTAATCTAGTAAGTGGGCAGCCTCCAAATGTCAACTTGCGGGGCCCAGGCCAAAGGAAGTAAAGCTTTGGCATGCTGGCAGGTATTTGCCATAGGACAGGCCCCTCAAGGCCAGAAAAGAAGGGCCTTCTACTATGTGTGCATTTTTTAATAAAAAAAATAATTTGGGTGGGGAAGTATTGTTACAGCTTTTAAGTAAGAACCTCTAATTCTAAAGTTTTCTAGTTTGATCACTATAATTTTCTCTAGAAAGCCACTGGTTAGGGCATTCTTATTTTGAATCTTTCTTTAGGTTTATCTTATAAAGTAAATTTGAAATAAAAAAGAAGAGTTGGATAATTAAAAAACAAGAACTAAAACTGGTTATGTCAGAAATCTGGTTCTGCTCTAGGGTAGGCTCCTGACCGAAAAAGAAAATAAAATCAGTTCCTTAATTGTTAAATATTAACATTAAAGATTTTTGAAACTTTTGCTTGTTTTCACTGTAAAAATAATTTAGGAGATAGTGGATCTGGAATTTTTTTCTGCTTAAATGTGTGTGTGTGTGTGTGTGTGTGTGTGTGTGTGTGTGTATTTTTAACCCTAAATGAATGTTTCTTCAATTGTGTGTGTGTGTATTTTTAACCCTAAATGAATGTTTTTTCAATTAACCCTGACTGATGTGCTTTGGATCTGATGATCATTATGTAGCTTTTATAAAGCCACTTTCCTACAGAAGAAATCACTGATAATTATTTAAAAATGAAAATAGTGATTTTAAGACAAGATATATTTATCATTCTATCAAGTCTGTCTGGGAATAAAATTATCTAGATATTTAACAGAATACTCTTTTAAAACTCATGCCAAAATAGACAAGATTATATTACTAAAATTATGTGAGCCATGCTGACACTGTCACAAAGAAGTTGGTAACTGGACGACTGATCATACTTTAAATGTCTTCCAAAGCTGGGCAACTCAAGTTTATCTGAGCACAGAGGTACTGGGGAAACACGCTGTTAGGAAGCAAAACTTAAATCAGAATAATGTCCTCTTCTCAGAGATGGAGTAGGTATACTTGTCTCTACTTTTCCTGCCAAGTACAAAAACTCTTGACATTACATATAAAACAAACATATGAAGACTGAACCGTGGGAAAAAAAAGACAGTCTGGCTGGGGGCCTCAGACCTGAGGAACGACACAGCAGTGAGGTCCCTGGATTGTCTTTTTGACTCATTTATACCAGACTTACAGGAAGAAACTGGCAACCTGAAGTGCCACTGGGCACAGACAACAAACAAACAAACAAAACCCAACATAATAACAAAAACCTACTCTCTCCTGCTAAAGGACAGACAAGGAAAGGGCAGCCCCGAAAGATGAAGACCTTTTAGTTATCAACTGCTCTGCTTTAGCCAGACACCACGGAAAAGATGTTCCACTGCCACTGGCTTCAGCAATGCCATGGGGGAGCCCAGACTTCCATCCTAACCAGGCTGTAGAGCACCCTCACCCTCTGCCCCGCACCCCATGCTGTCAGGGAGGGCTGACCAGGGAAGCCGGTCCTTTCACCCAAACCTGGCAGTGGTAAGCACCTCCCATGCCCCAGCGGTGTCAGTGGATGCCTCATGGGAGGCCTGGACTTGCACCTCATCCAGTAGTAGTGGATGGACCCCCTCCTGCTCCTCACTGGGGTCATGTGACAAGCCTGGCAGAGAGTCATTCACCACCAACAGGAGTGAAGAGTCTGTTCCCCTCCCACTGACATTAGCGGCATGAGGGGAACGTGGCAGGACCTCCTATCCTTCCTAGCCGGGGAATTATCAGTGCAGCCTGAGAGGCTTAATGCCTTCCTCTGCCCTGCAATATAGGGGATCCCCTCTTGGGGGTCAGTGGAGGCTGAATGGGGAGCCTGGATTTCAATTCCAGTCATCCTTAAAATGGATGAATTTTAAGATAAGGAAATTACACCTCAATAAAAATATTTGAAAAGAAAGAAAAGATTACATTCTAGCAGCTTTTTTTGGGTTAAATTTTGCTACTACTTTAAGGCCTTTTAATGTTTTAAATTACTTTGAAATGGCTTGATTTCAAACTAGTAGGTAGGTGACCTATCCTCAAACTCAGTGAAAGTCTGTTTATAAAAGGTAGTCCATGGATCACTCATCTCCACAGCCTCTTGGCTCATTAAAGCCAACATCACTGGCAGGGAAAAGTTATGAAGCTCGTCGTCTCCATGCTATTGAGCCATAAAGCATTTGGATTATGATATCCACCATCGATCAAGTCTTCCTGCCACCTCAGCACAGCATAGCTAAAGAAGTGTCAAATTTCAACCTGAAATGAGTCCAGCTGTTCCCACTCTCACCCCCCAGCCCCCCAACTATTCTGACGTCATGTAAATAAGCAGTTCTCAAGATGTGCACATGCGATGCAGAGGGGCAGGGTCTGTGTGGGCAGGGGCAAGCGGAGTCACCAGGCGGGCCGGTCCAACCTGTACAAGGGCTGATAAGAGGGCAGTCATACTTCTCCATCAGGGTAATGGGCGATATAGAAGCAGGCCCTAGCTTCAGGTATGTTACTGAGGAAGAAAAAGGCTGAGAATCCTTGAGTTGAATAAAGCTTAGTATTCATTATAAGAGTAAAGATATTTAATGGCAATTATTATTACACTTAGGAGGGTATTAAAATATTATTAACATAATGATAAGTTTTCATTATATCTAAAGAGAAATGATACTTTAGTCATCATTTGTATTTAATACAGTGTAACAATAGTGCATGTAGGAAACAAAGTCCAAACGAACACCTCCATCAAATCAAACTACAGTTCAGTCAAACTGATGATGCAGACCTCATCAAATACATTCAGAACATAAATTTAAATCCATGTTTCTATAATTATGCAAATAACCTCAAAGGAATTTTTTCTTTGGTTTAAAAAATGCACTTCATCCAGTATGCCATATAAAAGGCAATCCTCCATAAAGTTTATGACTTGATCAAAAATAAGAGAATACTAAGTTACAGGTCTGTGAGTGCAACTCCGGTTTAAGGCCTGGCAAGGATAGTCCTCACCCGGCCGTTAGAGTGGCACCTGGTGCCACGAGGTTCTCCAGAGGCCTCATGCCTGCAGTTGCAGCTGGCTATACCGACTAGAGTGCATTCCTTCAAGATTTAATTTTGGTAAAATCTGCTCCGAAGATGTATTTTTAAACATATTGGACTATACCCATAAACAGATATACTGTCTCATGCTCTAATAATACAATCTTTATTTTTAAAGAGACTATTAATTACTTATTAACCTAAAACTAATAGCTGAGGAATCCATCAAGTCTATTTTGAAAACCCTCTGCAGTCACCAAGACAACACTATAAACATCACAGATAATGTGCCAGACTACACTCATGGCATTGGTTAGCACCCATTCTTCTCTAAAGTTCCAGGACAGACTCTCACTATTTCTGTATTCTTAAAGCAATAAGATAGTCAGGACAAAAGGAAAACATTCCATTCCTACTAATAACAGGTGTGGAATGGCTGAAATTATTAACTTACTACTGATGTAAAGGGGAAGTTTAGAAATAAGATCTGTCACAAACTTAACATGGAAGGAGCACAGTCAAAAACCCCTGGATCCCAGGAAGGGAACTCTTCCAGGATCCGTGTGACATGACAGGCAGTAACTCAGCTTTTCAAATATACATTCACAAAGGCATAATTAGAAACCCAAACCTTAAAAGCAACAGTCTCACACACAGAATGCAGGACAAAGTACAGTAATGAAGTTCTGATATGTGAACTCTATTACACGGTACATTAGTTTTGAATCTTGAAGCATATTTGCTCCCCATTATCCACAACTTTTCCTCCCCTCTGCAATCATCTTCCTTTCTTAAGTGGGCATCTTTTCGATGATACACTAAGAGGCAAAGAAAACAAACAGCAGAGCAAGGGGGTATTTTGGCAGGAATAACCATGAGAGTATGTGGGGCATTTATGGAGGAGAGTTCAATGCCCTCATCCTGATGAACAGACCTGGGCTCTGAAATCCCCTTTTACACCTGCTTTCGAGATGTGTCCCAGAGCCAAGTGCCCCATTTAACCTATGGGAGTTGAATTCATGAAGATGAAGCATTGAGACTTGAGATACTGAGGTTTAACAGAACTTATTAACTGGCTATAGACCTTTATCTTCCTCCTATCCACTTTGACTTTCTAATGTTGTATAGATGTGGGGTAATGATTACACATTACATGTGATTTACAACATAAAGAACAACAGGCATAAACCAGGACTGTTCCAGGGACACCTGGATGTATGGTCACTGCATGTATAGGGCAGCTCCCATTATAGAAAATATTACCAAATTATTTCTACAGCATAGTTTTCCCCCTGTATAGCATTAATTATATTTTAACATGTATCATAAATCAATTACAGTACTGAAACACGGAATCCTTGACTCTCTACAGCCCTAGCCAAAGTCCTTTGAGGGCACACACAAGGCCTCAGAGTTTTAGCCCCAGAGTCTGTCTACAGCCTTTCTTTAACCATACCTACTCCCCTAGCAACAGTCTTCTTTACACGATAAGGTTTTTCTCTTAATGACAATGTGAGACTCACTATCCGTCTTCTGACATAAATAATGAACCGCCAGCTGTGCAGTTGGAAGGATGTGTGGTGCCGTCTGCGGGCACCCGCACACCCCATGGCCACCTTCCTATCAGAAAGCTGCCTTCTACCTCACTTCATTCCTTCAATATTCTCTCTTTGAAGACATGCTGCTGCTCTACACCTAACAGAGACCAAAAACAGTGCTTTCCTGACCTAAAATGCCCTTTGGCCCATTCCCTCCTAAAGAATTTCTTCCTTCTTTAAATCCAAATTTATACTATTCAAAACTCTGCAGTGAATAGTCCCTTTGCAATAATCACATATGCAAGATTAGATACAAAGTCACTTTTTAAAAAGAGCTGATCAGAGTTAAAACAAAGACTTTGGGAAATCACCTTATGTGGGGGGCAGTGGGAACTCTACAGCCTTGGCTACTGAAGTACTGCCTTCCAGACTTGCTCAGCCATTTACAGGACTGTGACATGAGCGAGTCTCAGTCTCCTTAGGGCCACAGTGTCCTCATCTGTAAAATGGAGACAGTCAATATATCTATTGTGGAAAATACTATCTTCCTCACAGCACTGTGATAAAAGTCACATGAAATAATGTGTTGGAAGACACTGTAAACACTGGAGCACAGTACAAATGCTGGTTATTGTGGCAGAGGGGTGACGGGGGGCAATCCTTTCACAGACATCAAGTTTGAGTCTCTTACCTAATATAAACGGATTCCCTGCTCTCTGAACTGCCGTGAGCATGTCTCTCAGGGCCATATCTCAACCAACCGCTGGGAAAGTGGACTCGGCATTGCAACACACAGCTTTGCTGAACTTGTGGGTGGTCGCTGCCTCTCCTCTACTCTGTGAACGAGGTTACTCTGTTTGGGTCCCAGTACTGGCTTCAGAACCCCAGCTTTGGCAGAGGGTAACTAGAATTGATGTAATTAGGGACAGTCACTCCTTCCACCTATAATGTCATTCTCCACATGCATGAGTGAAATGAAATGGTAATACAATCTCAGAGGTGTGAGGGCACTCCAGTGCAGTTACTGCCCTATACTTCTCCAATTAAGCTTGTAAGAGTGCTCTATGCCTATACTCTACATCCTGACCTCCCATTTCATTTATCCATTTTCCTTTAATTTTTATCAGTCATACATGCAGTATTTAAAAAGCAAAATAATGGAAATTTATAATGAAAAGCAACAATCCCTCATGCCTTCTTACCCACTTCTTAGAGCAATCACTTAAACTACTTCTCTTTTTAGATCTTCTGATGGTTACCTCCTTAACATGAATTAGTAAATACCTCTAAATTGCTGTTTATTGATGCATCCATTTAAAACATTATTAAGTCCTTGCTAGGAAAGAGGAGGATTTATCCTACTTATACAATACCCTCCTCATTTTAATTTTAGATAGTTATTTTAGTTCTTCTGTTTTTCTTTATGAATAAGCTTGGAGCTTTAATTTATATATAAGAAAATGGAACCATTTTAAGTGTCGAGTTAGATGAGTGCTGATAAACGTACACCCATCTAGCCATCATCACTTTCAATATACAGAGCATTTCTGTCACCCCAAAAATTCCCACATGGCCTTTTACTATCAAGCTCCCCCTAATTCCCAATTCTGAAGGTGGATGGTGGTGACGGTACACAACACTGTGAATGTACTTAATGCCACTGAACTGTGCACTTTAAAAACAGTTAAGATGGCAAGTTTTATATTATCTGTATTTCACGACAGTTAAAAATTAGAAGTCTCATATACAAAAACACTGTATTTATCAGAATATGTCCCAAACAAAATTCTGACATATGTCTAAAATGAAAAAAAAAAAAAAAAGAAACTATGGATAAAGTAAGGAAAGGCATGCCAAATACAAGAGAAATTATCAAGGATAAAAAACAGAACTACAGAATAACATCAATAATACTAGCTGCCATTTACTGAAGCTCACCAGATGTCAGGCACTGTGCTAGATGCTTTACACGGATTAATTCACTTAAAACGACCACCAGAGAGAGAAGAGAGATTAGAGATTAGGTCACTCGCTGATTGTCTCACAGCTAAAAAATGGCAGAAAGAGTTCAATCCCAGATGCTCTAGTCTAAAACCCATGCTCTGGCCCACCAGCTGTCTGGACATTTTGGGATCAGAGGTCTGGTAGGAGGAGACACCAAAACTTTCCTTAAGTGTTCAAACTTAAGCGTAATGAAAACAAAATATCTAAGCAGTGGCATTTTACATGCCTAGCACATATGGAATGAGATACTCAAATAGAATGACTGCTGGGGAAGGCAGACATGTATGTAAATGACAAGGCTGCCTGAGAGGTAGAAACAGAGGAGAGAATGTCCAACACAGAGCCTCACCCAAACCTGCACAATTGCTGGCAACATAAGTACTGAATAAATATTGACTAAATGAAATAAAATCAGTTTATATACTCTGTCTCCGAATGCATTTGAAAAACAAAAGGCAGAAGGATCGATTTTGCTTTCTTCCTGTTAAAGAGAAGACATTTAACGGATTATGGCAATCATTGGCATTCAAATCACAATAAAGAGAAAATGACTTTCGGTTCAGGTTATACTTTAAGTAACAATCTTAAAGGTATCACATGTTAAAGTGTTCCTATATTAAAGACTCAAAAAGGCAGATAATGATTACATTCAATTTAAACCACCACATTAAGCTAACAATACAACTTGAATAGCTTCATTTTTCTGAAGAGATTATGAGAACACAGACTCTGGCGTGAACTACTCTGAAACCCGATTCAAGCAGTTTCTTTTGCACCTTCCTGCTGCCCTGTAGTTCACTCCAGACTTAACATCTATCTCCACATCATCCCAAGAAAACACTTGCTAATGTGTTAATGCCAAGAACTGGAGAGATGTATCTCAGTTTTAGAGGCTAAAATAATTGCTACTTGCTATGCTTACCTCCAAAAACCAACTGGCACCTTCTATACTAAGATATCAAGTTGCAACCTTATGAATTTCTATGTGATATACACTATACCTTGTTCCAATATCAAGCCAGCTGCCATAATCCTTGATCAAGAAGAAAAAATGCTGCAAAATAAAACAAAACATGGCTCATTAAAAACAAAGGCTATTTAAAGTCAGTCAAAAAACAATGTTGTTTTTAGGATTATGGGTTTCAGATTTCTGCCCCTTGGAAACACTATCTGACTGGAAGAAATAAGAATGCCCTTCATTGAAATCTTTGCTTGGACTGAAATGAACAATAGCCTAAAAGCTAGAAATAGCATTACCATTCAATTAATTGACACAAAAGTGGCATTTGTGAATAGTAGAAAACCAACTTTGACCCAAAGACCTCAGTGAAAATAAGCCAAATCATCCATTCATCAACAAATATTTACAGACGCCCACTATGTGCCAATCACTATTTGTTAGGACCTGGAGATAAACCCTCTTTCAGGTCTATAATCTAGTGAATAATTCAATTATTGCATGTGTGTGTAAGATGAGTGTTATTATGGGAAAATACAGGCGATTACAGAAGCACAGAGGAAAAGGTATATACCCTGACTGGGCATAAAGGAAGGCTGTCCTGATAAAAAGTCTAAAAATCTAAGCAGAAAGTAAGAGTCAGAGGAAAGAGGAGCTTGGGGAGATGGAAGGAAAACTATATTTTGATAGAGGAAGTAACCTTGATAAATGCCAAGAGTCCAGATACAGCTTGGCAGGGCTGAGGTAAGGTGGCATCGAGTATACAGGATAGAGAGGTGAGAAATGATGCCAGTCAAGCAAGCAGGAGCTGACAGCAAATGGCCTTGTAAGCTAAATTATGCAGTCTGACACTTTAGTATAAAATTAACCTGAGTATTTAAATTCTCTTCTATTGCACATGTCTTGTCTATTTGCCACTTTGAGAACAAAATGAAAAGCTAATCTGTTCTGACATTATGTGTGGTCAGTTTCAGAATCTCTTGGCTAGCCAGTTCAATATGGCACAAAAATGGTCTCATCTAAGCAAGTGATGAGGAATTTGACTTGGGAAGTTACACTACTACGTGCCTCCCATTACTTCTAGCATGGTGTGCTGTGTAGTGAAGAATTAGCCTTACCCAGAGAGGTCTGGCCTTTGCCTTCAGGCCTCGGTCACTGATAGCCTAGTAATATAATTTATATTGGAGGCCTTGGGCCACGTGGTACCAGTTCTACCTCTGGACGGACTGGAGATTAAAGGTCAGCCATGGGAACAATATGTGACTGAGACCCAAGACAAAGCTGACACCAAGGTTCTGGTGTATTGCTACCCATCAGTGTATTGCTCCCTGTGTGTTGCTACCCATCAGTGCTGGGAGAGTGCTGCCATCCCGACTCCACAGTGGGGGGATGCCCAGTGCTTGCATTATGGACCCTTCCCAGGCCCTGCCCTTCCAGGCCTCTTCCCTTGGCTGACTTTCATCTGGATCCTTTCCCATAATAAACCATAACTGTGAACGAAACAGTTTTCAGTGAGTCCTTCTAATTAAAACTGAAGAAAAATTTGGGAACCTCCTGAACTTGCAGGTGGAAAATTGTTTCGTCTTTTTATTAACATAGGAGAGGCCCAGCTCCATGCTCCTCACTCAGAACTCATTTAATAGAGCTATCATTTGATAACATCTTCCCACTTGAAAAGCTCTCTTTCCTTTTTCCTTTCTTCCCTTCCTCCCTCCTTCCCTGTTTTTTTCCCTTTCTTTCTCAATCTAAGGGTTAAAAATCAACATTTCAAGTAGGAAAATGATGTATTACCTAAATCTAAAGTTAGCCTTTTCTGTTAACTTCATATGGAAGGTTCATTTTGGATACAATGTATCATGAAAGACTAGGTATAAATGACAGATTCAAATAAATCAAGTAATATGACTTCTGACACCTTCCAAACACTCTTACTGCATAAGTCATATGACAAGAAAGTAATTTATATGTGTAAATTATGCCAGCACTTATAACTCAATATCTAAAGATTTCATGCACAGAAATGTATTCAGATTTCTCTTGATTTAATCAGCATTTAGCTTCTCAATCTTATTTTTACTGAATATCTAATAATGCCTTACCAAAGCCATAATGTCTGATATGATGAGAACCATGAGAAAAAGGCTGGAAAAAATAAAGAAAGATTATACATAATAAAACAGGTACATTTTTTAAGAACATTAAAATAAAAATGAGAATAACCAAATTACCCAATATTCTGTTAGTATTTTTGCTTCTGAAAACACTACCTTCAATAAGAGCTCTTTTCACATTACCATGGGCAACAGTCCCATATTGATGGGTCTAACTTCAAAAATGTTATTTAATATTTTAAATATTTATTTCAATGGTATGAGACATGAATTATGATTTAAATTAAACTTTAAAGTTTGATATAATGGTAGATACACATGCAATTTCAAAAAATCATATAGAGGGATCCCATGTGCCATTTGGCCAGGTTCCCCCAATAGTACTATCTTACAAAGCTACAACACAGTATCACAACGAGGATACTGACATCAATACCATCAAGACAGAATGTTTCCGTCATTACAAGAGTCCCTCATGATACTCTTTTAAAGCTACACCTCTCCTCCCTGAACCAACCCCCTGTCTTATCTCTCACCTCTGGGAACTACTAATCTATTCTCCACTAATCTGTTTTCTTAATTTTGTCATTTCAAGAGTGTTGTGTAAGTGAAATCCTTTATATAACACTCTGTAACCTTTTGGGACTGCCTTTTTTCACTCAACATAATTACCTACAGATTTATCTAAGGTGTTGTGTATATCAATAGTCTGTTCCTTTTTATTGCTGCATAGTACTCCATTGTATGCATGTACCAGTTTATTTAACCTTGCAAGCACTGCAGGACACCAGGTTGTTTCCACTTTGTGGCTATTACAAATAAAGCTGCTATAACACATTTCTCTAGGAAAAATAACCAAGAGTACAATGGCAGTTGCATGTTTAGTTTCAAAAGAAACTATAACACTCTTTTTTAAGTGATTATAACATTTACATTCCCATTAGCATGTATGAGAGCAATTTCTTTGTACCTTACCCAGCATGTGATGTCACTATTTTTTATATTAGTTATTCTGCTAGTTGTTACATAATACTGTACTGTGGTTTTAATATGTATTTCCTTTTAATAGCATCAAAAAGAATAAAATACCTAGGAATAAACCTAACCAAGGAAGTGAAAGACCTATACCCTGAAAATTATAAGACACTCTTAAGAGAAATTAAAGAGGTCACTAACAAATGGAAACTCATCCCATGCTCCTGGCTAGGAAGAATTAATACTGTCAAAATGGCCATCCTGCCCAAAACAATATACAAATTCGATGCAATCCCTATCAAATTACCAACAGCATTCTTCAATGAACTGGAACAAATAGTTCAAAAATTCATATGGAAACACCAAAGACCCCGAATAGTGAAAGCAATCCTGAGAAGGAAGAATAAAGTGGGGGGGGATCTCACTTCCCAACTTCAAGCTCTACTGCAAAGCCACAGTAATCAAAACAATTTGGTACTGGCA